CTCGACGTGTTTGGTCCTTGCATGAAACACGGGATTGGCACATAGATAAGTTGCCCCAAGGTTGTCACACCAAAGAGTAGCTGGCTCGGAAGAGTGAAGTCCTAGTTCACGAAGTAGTGACACAACCCAAGTAACCTCTGCAGAAACATCAGCAAGGGCCTTGTACTCAGCTTCTGTGGATGACCGAGCTACCGTTCGTTGCTTTCTGGACAACCAGGATATTAGGTTAGAACCAAGAAACACTGCATAGCCACTGGTGCTCTTCCTATCAATCAGGCAACCTGCCCAGTCAGAGTCTGAGAAAGCATGTATGGCTGTTGACGTCGATGAAGTAATACGCAAGCCATAACTGATAGTGCCCTTTATGTATCGTAACACCCGTTTTGCCATGCCCCAATGCTCATCTGTCGGTGAATGCATGAATTGACACAGGCGATTCACAGCGTAGGACAAATCCGGGCGCGTGATCGTTAAGTACTGCAGTGCCCCAACAATACGCCGGTAGTGTGTTGGATTTTCATAAGAAGTTGTTGTAGAGACGGCTGACGTTGTGACTGATTCCGGTGTGGTGAGGGATTTGCAGTCAAGCATCCCAGCACGGTTCAGTAGGTCTGTCATGTACCACCGTTGAGAGAGAATGAACCCACTATCTGTACATATGGTCTCGATTCCCAAAAAGAAGCCCGGTTTGCCCAAGTCTCGGATTTTAAAGGTAGATGCTAGACGCTGTAGTAAGGTGTTGATTAACAGTGCATCATTCCCCATCATGATGATGTCATCAACGTAGACCAGCAAAAACACCCGAGACGCGCCTGATGTGTAATGAAACAAAGAGACATCTGTTTTCGACGAGGCAAACCCTGCAAGGAGTAAGAAATCATGTAGCCTTTTGAACCAAGCCCGTGGGGCCTGCTTCAAACCATATAGTGAGCGCTGCAGATGGCATACGTGATCCGGGTGTGCTGGATCTTCGTAACCAGGCGGCTGCTTCATGTACACAGTATCGGCTAAGTGTCCATTTAGGAAGGCATTATGTACGTCTAACTGGCGCATCGTCCAGTTGGATGAAACAGCAAGAGAAAAGAGCAGCCGTACAGTGGTAGGCTTAACCACCGGGCTGTAGGTGTCGAAGAAATCCTCGCCTGCTACCTGGTTGAACCCTTTGGCTACCAGACGGGCCTTATAGCGCTCAACCGAACCATCAGCTGTGCGTTTGATGCGGAACACCCATTTGCAGCCAATAATGTTCATGTGGGGTTCTGGAGCAACCAAACGCCAAGTGCTGTTGTGAAGCAGCGCATTGAACTCCTGGTCCATGGCCTCTCGCCACTGTGGATGGCCTACAGCCTGGGAATAACACGTAGGATCAGTTGTGACGTGTAAAGCCTGAAACTGCTCATCTGTGCCCCGAGTCTGATGACGAAGGCGCATCACATGACCACGGTCTTGAGGCTCGGTACGACGCCGTTTTGTCTTAGCACGAGGTGGTGCCGTGACAGCTCGAGGCATGGGTTCACGTTCTAAGGGTACGGGTTCAGCCTCTGGTACCGGGATGATGCTGGTTGATGGGGCCATCGGGGCAAGTCGTGGGACTATGGGCCCGGACGCCCACGGCAATGAGGCAGGCGGTGTAGACGGGATGGGTGTTCTAATTGCAAATGGGAACACCGTCTCGTCAAACCGAACGTGACGACAGATATAAACCTTCCCAGTTGAATGGTCTACGCACCTATATCCCCTAAAAGACGGGGGATAGCCAAGGAAGACGCAGGGTGCTGAGCGATATTCCACCTTGTGCCGATTATAAGGCCTTAGGTAGGGATAGCACTGGCACCCGAAAATTCAAAAAAACGTGTATGGAGGAGACACTTTGTGTAGGGGAGAGTAGGGGCTGTCAAAGTTTAATACTGGTGTAGGAAGATAATTTATGAGACACGTGGCAGTTTCGAAGGCAAAGTCCCAATACTCAAGTGGTATTGAGCCTGCAGCGAGTAGAGCAAGACCCGTTTCGACAATATGCCTATTACGGCGCTCAACTCGCCCGTTTTGTTCATGTGTGTAGGCACATGACTGCCGATGGTGGATACCCAGTGTTTGAAACATTGTTTGTAATTTTCTGTACTCACCCCCTAAATCCGATTGGACACATTTGATAGAGCGCGAGAATTGTCGCTCTACCAACACCCGAAACAGTTCAAAAGTTTTATAAACATCAGATTTTACCCGTAACGGATAAAACCAACAGAACCGGGAGTAATCGTCTACAAACAGTAAAAAGTAGCGATTACCACTATAAGAGACTACCGGAGCCGGGCCCCATACATCAGTGAAAATTAAATCTAAAACATTTGTACTAGATTTATGAACTCTATCTAATTTAAAACGGGACGACTTGCCGAGGTGACAAGCCGTGCACGACTCTGCGGATTTTGACTTATTTGATGAAACTGGACAATCTTTAAGAATGTGTTTCTGAACGACCCCATGCGGGTGACCTAGCCTTCGGTGCCAAACGTCTTGTGTGGCCCGGGAACTGACGAACACAAACTGAGTGTTTGACAACGGAAGCTTGTATAATCCCCCGGAAGTTGGTCCCTTAAGCAGAATGTCCCTGGTTTTGGAATCCTTCACAATAAAACAGTCATTATGAAACTCAAAGTAAACACTGTTTTCTTTTGTAAATTTTTGTACGGAAAGTAAAGGGACCGATAGACACGGAACATGTAACACATTGGACAAATTTAAACACTTTGACACGGACGGGATCGATGCATGACCGACATGTGAGATAGTCAAACCTGCGCCGTTCCCGACCCGTAGCACATCGGGCCCGTTGTACTCATCCGACCGGGACATCATGCTTGCGTCCGGTGTGGCGTGTGCGGTGGCGCCGGTGTCAGGATACCATCCGTCCGCCGATGTAGCCGAGGGGGTCGCCGGAAGCTCGCCGGCGGTGGCAACGTGTGCTTCTGCCGGCGGCTGTGTTATATACCGCTTATAGCAGTACACCGCCGTGTGGCCTTGAGCACGGCAAATCTGGCATCGTAGAACACCATGACCATTCCGGCCACCTCTGCCCAGGTTGTTCCAGCCGTTGCCATTCCGTCCGCCTCGCCACTGCTGGCCCGAGCCGAAGCTTCGTCCGCCATCACCACTGGATCCGCGACCACGCCCCACGTATAAGGCCGTCGGATGGACACTGCCGCCGTCACCTACGGCCAAATAATCATCGGATATGATGAACTCCTGCACCGTTAAAAAATCGGCCAGTTGCGGGAGAGAGACCGCACTGTTGGTGGCGGTAAGTGAAGCAGCCAACACCCTCAGGTCTTGACGCAAACCCCGCAGACCATATAGGTTCTGCTCGGTGGATGATAGAGGCCGTCCGGCTTGCGCCAATGCTTCCACGAGAACCTCGGCACGTCCCAGGTACTCGGCCGTCGTCTGATTTCCTTGTCTCAACGTCTGGAATTGGCCTAAGAGGCTGAGACAGCGAGCTTCGGTGGAGGATCCAAGCGAGGAGGTGATCGACTACCAAACCGCCGCAACTGTCTCCCGTCCGACTGCTAGGTGCAGTACTTCATCGGACATGGAGGAGATCAGCAAGGATAAGATGGACTGGTTCTGCAAGACCCAGGCCTTGTATGCGGGGTTGAGAACGACAGCCGTGGTCGTCGTCGCACAGGAGCCCGACTCGCCGGAAGAGGTAGCGGCGATCGTCGGTGGAGGACACGGCGTCGAGCCGTCTACGTATCCCAGTAGATCCTGCCCCCGGAGGAAGGGGACGAGTTGAGTTCGCCAGAAGAGAAAATTGCGGCTGTTGAGCTTCATGGAGATGTGGTGGTGTGCACCGGAGAGGGAGACGCCGGTCGCCGGCGATGGGGAGCCACCGGCGGTCACTGTACGCTCGGAGGAGTGCGATGACATGGTGATCGGACGGTGGTGTTTGTGGGGTGGAGAGAGAAAATGATCGTAATCCTATCTGATACCAAATGAGAATTGAATTATCTGAACAGTTACAACCGAACGAGAATACATCAGAGATAAAAGATAACTTAACGTGAAACTCTCCTATCTAATAGAGAGCTCAGGTCAATTAAATCTAAACCACACAAATAAAGAAATATAAAACTATATACTATAACATTTATTAACACTAAGTACAGTCATAGAAATCATACCCTTTAAATGGTTGTGTAGACAAGCTATGCAAAAGAAGTCAAGAATGTGTTGTTCCTCCCCCTACTTTGAAGATAGGTTGAAGTGAGTGTGACACCCTCAATTAGATCCAATTTTAAGGAAATAAAAAAACCCCAAGATCACTCATTGTTTTTTGTGGGACACCTCTCAAACACACTTATCCACAAGCAAAGGATGTGATTCAATCCACAACCTCCACGGGTCTACCAAGCCAAGCCCACTAATGGGAACGATGCACACTGACTTTCCAAACTTTGCCACATGTGGCCCCAATAAAGACCCATTTAATCAAGTGTGATGGTGAAATTACTGGTTGAAAGATTTATGAGAGAGTTCATTAAAGCTTTACCAAGTATATATTAATCTAAGATAAAAAAGAATCATCCCTGATTTTGAAAGTCCAACACTCAATAATCAATAATCTTTCTCAATTGAAGGAAGGTAGAATATCATCCTAGTAATGAGACGTGGTGGCTAACCCTTGGCTATAGTTTGATTAGGTAGTGAATATTAAGTCGGCATGGTGTTCATAGCTTATTCCAAGAGCTGTTACCTAGAAGAAGCAAGTAGTCGTGCATGCGAAAAGCTTATCTTCACTTGTATTTTGTAGTAATACATACTGAAATTCTCCTTCGGATTATAATGAGAAGAGTAGAAAAATTTTCAGAACTACTATAAAAATCTCTCTTTCTCTCTCTAGCTCTATCTCTCACTTACATTACTTTATATCTTATCTTGCGAGTACCCAACCTTCATACTCGATTTCATACCAACACTCACAACAAAATTAAGCTACAAACTTTTTCTTTAAACTTGGCAAGTTTATTAAGAGTTAAGACTTCTGTTGCACTTAACTCACTTTAAAAATTATTTAAGTCTATTCAACCTCCCTCTCAGCCCCCCAGCCCCCATCCCTTCTAGAGTTTAACTTGCGTAGGACTAACATGTAGGTAAAGCAATCGTTATGCTATGGACCCGCGTTCAGCATTTCGGTGCCGTTAGTGGCACACTGGCACCGTTCTCTTCCACTTTTTTTTTTTTTTTTTTTTAAATTTCAGCCCACTTTGTTATAGGAGTATATGTTCATAATTTTATCACTATATGTTCATAATTGTAAGTTCATAATGTCAGAGCTTTGTGTTCATAATTGCATAACTGTACATTCATAATTGCATAACTGTACATTCATAATTCTGTAACTGTACATTCATAATTCAATAACAGTAAATTCATAATTTTCGAAACTCTATGTTCACAATTTTAGAGCTCTATGTTCATAATTGTAAGTTCGTAATGTCAGAGCTCTGTGTTCATAATTCCATAACTTACATTCATAATTCCATATAACTGTACATTCATAATTGCATAACTGTACATTCATAACTGCATAACTGTACATTCATAATTCCATAACTGTACATTCACAAATGAATAACGCTGTTAACGGCTAGAAAAAATCAAAAAAAAAAAATTTTTAACTGGAATGCCGCATTTTCCCTTAAAGCGACATCGTTTTGGACTCGTGTCCACAATGCATTGTGGACACGAGTCCGCAGCATAATTTACGGTAGGTATAGTAGTACGTCTTACAATAGTTATGCTGTGCAACCGAATGTACCATGCGCATGGTGCATACGGTTCAAAACGACGTCGTTTTGATTAAAAACGCGCGTCCCACTTAAAAAAAAAAATCAGGTTCGACTCTCAGCAATAGCATTATTGTGGATATATAGTTATGAATTGTGGATATATAGTTATGAAATTGTGGTTATATAGTTATGAATTTATGGATATTTAGTTCATTCATTGTGGATATTTAGTTCAATCATATATTGTGGATATTTAGTTCATTCATTGTGGATTTTTACTTCATTCATTCACTGTGGATGTATAGTTATGAAATTGTGGATATATAGTTATGAAATTGTGGTTATATAGTTATGAATTTATGGATATTTAGTTCATTCATTGTGGATATTTAGTTTAATCATATATTGTGGATATTTAGTTCATTCATTGTGGATTTTTACTTCATTCATTCATTCATTGTGGATTTTTACTTCATTCATTCACTGTGGATATATAGTTATGAAATTGTGGATATATAGTTATGAAATTGTGGTTATATAGTTATGAATTTCTGAATATATAAAAATGCTATTGTTTGGAATCGAACCTGATTTCTTCTTTAAATGGGACGCGTGTTTTTTTAACCAAAACGGCACCGTTTTGCAACCGTATGCACCTTGCAAGGTGCATTCGGTTGCACAGCATAATTTGCGCACGTCTTAAGGCCGGGCTAGATCAGAGTCAAATTAAAGGCCCAATCTAATTTGGACTTGGGCTTTTGTTGGGCTGGCTTTATTATTTATTTATTTGTAGTTTAGTTGTGATTTGTGAATGTTATTTGGACTCAACTCCTTACTCGATTAATATTATTACTATTATTTTACTCAGATAGGTCAATTAAAAACCATCAATTTTTAGTATGTATTATGCATATTATTTTTTGTTCATAATCAACATTTTATTCTTAAACATATAAGAAAATTGAAACTTGGCATTTATCAGGAATTGTTACATTTATTAAGAAAAAGAAATACAACGTAACATAGTACACACATTTGGGCTTGAAACATTTATTACAGCACTTCTGTTTTATTATATATATAGATATAGATATATAGATTATTCATAAGATACCCAAATTAATTCTAGTTAGTTCATGGGCACATATATGAGCCATCCAACATCAATGAATCCTGGATTTTTAGCCAAATGAGGGTTCAACTTGAGAATATCACCAACTCGAGAAGAAAGCAAATCAGCAATACTTGGCAGTGTATCTCCTGGCTGAACGGTGTAAGTCGTCACAAAAGGTGAAGTCTCACTATTTCCCACGCACCCACACAGGAGATGCATACTCACAGTTTCTCCAGCCTTATACGACGTTTCTTCTCCCCCAACCTTCCATGCTTGCCCGCTGTAAGAGTTGACCGAAACGGTTGCGAATGTGTCTTGTCGTTGCAACTTGTAAGGGGTTTCGTAGAAGTACCCAACAGTGCCATTAACATCCTCGCAAGAACATGGTACTTCTACGAGGTAGTCTTGTTTGGTTTCCTTAACATTCTTGCGCGAAATGGGGAAGATGTCTGAGGGGCTGACAGAGTAGAGAGTGGAAATGGATTCTGGGTCAAGCCCATTGTGCTGGTAAAGTAGAGAAGTGCAGGTTTGGGTGGTAGTAGAGCATGGAAAAGGGTTTATATTAGAAATTTGAGTTGGGCGGCCATAGACAATATTGAAAACAAGAGACAGTAAAAGAATGAAGAAACTCAAAGTTGGGAGTTTTGCCATTTCTATCTTATGCTGTGAAAGCACGAACTACTCCAAGGGGGAAGGGTAAACAAATGGGATATATATACATGTATGAGGAAATTCACGAGATGATAACTTTTTCTCAATGGACAAATTCAATGTAAATTTAATCTTCTAATCAAATTTTTTTACTCCTTCATCGATACTATCTAATCTTGAGAGGAATGGATCCGGAGTTTAATCTTTCTTGTGAAGGTGAAATCAATGCTTTTATTATTAAATAGTGCCGGTGGAATGAGCTGAGCTAGCCATTAATCTTATTATTGACTGAAGTTATTTAAATTTAATATTGTGTATTATTTAATTTTATATTTGTGTATAAAATTTATATATGTAAAACAATGTCAAAAGCACTATTATATTAAGTCAAAAAAAAAAATGAAATAAATAAAAATTTGTAAAATTCCTCTGTGCACTATTAAGCACTATTAAATTTATTGACTATTAGGTTGGTAGAATTCCGGTGTGCAATGTAGCTAAATTTCAAGTTTCAAATAAGTATTATAAATACCTTATACTTATATTCTTGAATCGAGCTCAATTAAAATAATATTCCTTTTATTCCATTTTGTTTGTCTGGTTCAATTAGTGAGACTTGACTGAATATATTTTAAATTCAATTTTGTATAATATTAAGTTCAGTATTAGTAAATAGAATTTATATATTTAGAAACTATATTAAAAGTAATATTAAACACAAAAGAAAAAACAAATTTCAAAATAAATAAAAATTACATAAGATCAAAGCAAAGCAATGAAGAAAGAATTGGTTTGACTAATGAATAATAAACAAGCTAAGATAGGCAGAATTTCATTGTCAAAGCAAGGGGATCCTTTTTGCTTTCTTTTTTTTTTTTTCATTTTAATAAGGTCCCATCGAAGAAAGAACCAAAATGAGTCAAAACGGAGTATTTAAAAAGTTGTAAAAGTTTATTCACTCACCTCTAGATTTTAATCCTATCAGCAGGGACCAATAACTTTGTACGTATTGGTTATGAATTAATAAAATTCATGCTTTTTTGTTTAAAAAAAAAATTTCTCCAAATGATTCGACATTTAACTTCTGTTACGTATTTATGAATTAATAACATTCATGCTTTTTTGTTTAAAAAAAAAAATTCTCCAAATGATTCGACATTTAACTTCTGTTATATGAGTACAGTATCATGAACTTATAATGGGGGATATTTTTCTCTAGGACGTACAGAATATCTTATTGTAATTAACATACATGTCCATTCTTAGCCTTCCTGGCCTGTCCTAAACGCTCATGGTAATCATCACAAACAAATAGTTAAGGTTGATTTTTAGTCTTCTCGTTTATGTATAGTTTTTGTCTGCTATCCTTTGGACATGTTGTCTTGATTGTAACATACATATAGATAAGGTTAATTTTATCAATATGGTTTTGCTTTACAGGTGTGATCAACGAACCGGTTGTCTTCATCGTTTTGTGGGACAGCTATTACAACGTTACATTAACCGCATGTTTGGTTAATTAAATAGGTCAGAAATATAATATCATTTTTAGGAATAGACATATTTTAACCATTCTTAGGGGTTTCTGGTATTAGCTATTCCTAAGTACTAGGAATGACTTTTGTATTATAATACATAAAACACCATTTACTATATATATATATATATATATATATATATATATATATATAGAAGAGCGCTCATATGCGGCGGGGTCTTACGGTGCGGCGGTGCGGTCAAATTCCAGAATACACCAACAATGTTAACAATATGCACCAACAGTGTAATAAAAACACACCCCAATGAAATGTAATAAAACATCACAAAATACACCACAAACTCAAAAAAACACACCATATAACTTACCACCCCCAATGGTGTATTTCCGAACAGTGTATGGTGTTTTTACTCACACCTAATGGTGTGTGTTTGGTGATGCAGGGCTCTGTTTACTCTGTTTTGTGTGGTGTATTTCCTAACGTTGATGGTGCATATTTGGTGAACTATTGGTGTTGCCGCACCGTAAGAAATAACCGCACCGTAAGACACTGCCGCACCTGAACCCGCCTCTATATATATATATATATATATATATATATATATATATATATATATATATATATATATATATATATATATATATAGGGACGCACTCAGGTGCGAATAAATGTCCAGGAAGGAAATGCGAACGAATCAGCGCGCGACACGTGTCCAGATCTAATAACTTAAAAAAAAACGCAGTGGCATTTTCGTAAATAATTGAACATCGAAGTGCAAGTAAAATCTCTTATAAGTGCACCTATTTTCACCTATAAGTGCATGTAATTTTGCCTTGTTAGCATTCACTTTCCGCAACCATTCATGCACCTGGGTGTGCTTATAACTATATGTGCAACTATTTATCACTATAGGTGCAACTACTTATAACTATAGGTGCACCTACTTTCACTTATTAGTGC